CAGGAAAAATATTGTTTAAACAATAATTTCCATTATATGATATTTCTCAGATAACCATACTAAAATATCAGAGAGAGTATTTCCCATAGAGGGTTGCAGTTAGATAAATTATTGATTTCTATTTTTTTGTGTGTGCCAGAGATTGAACCAGAGGCATTTAACCACTGAACTAAACCCTCAGCCTTTTTTTAATTTTTTTTTTTTTTTTTTAGATAGGATCTCCCTAATTTGCTAGATTGCTGAGGCTGGCTTTGAACTTGTGATCCACCTGTCTCAATCTCCTGAGTCACTGGGATTACAGGCATGCACCACCACATCCAATAATTTTCTAAGTAACATCATGGAGAAACACGAAACATCAGTCAAATGATCAAGGTTAATATCAACAATAAGTCAGATCTACATTCTGTGCCCTTAATAAGAGCTAATGGGAAAGGCACTTCAATTATATTGTCTTCTGCTCAAAAACATTTAACTTCAGTCGAACATAAACATCTAGACAAATTTGGGAGAGCACTGAGTATTCTGTAGAATGTCCCTTATTTGGGATTTGTGCTGATGCTTTTCTTACAATTAGACTGGAGTTATATGGTTTGGAGTGGAAGACAATAGAAGTCTCGTGCCTTTCTCATCACCTCTTAAGGGTTCAAACTATCAAGCTGACTTATCGTTGGTATTAACTTGATCATCTGACTGATGTATTTGTCATGTTCTTCATGACAAGAAAAACAGAGGCGAATATAATCAGATTTCTTATCCAAAGCTTTGGGTAAATTGCAATGGCCCAATAGAGTACTACACAATTCTAGAATAAGCACCTGGTGATATATTGAGTCCTAGGGATGGGAGGAGTCAGTACTTAGAAATCAACTAGGATTCATATAAGCCAGATTTTTTAAAAAAAAATTTTTTGTACATGTAAATGGACAGAATGCCTTTGTTTATTTTTATTTGGTGCTAGGGATTGAACCCAGTGCCTCACACTTTAGGCAAGTGCTCTGCCACTGAGTTACAGCGCCAGCCCATATAAGCCAGCTTTTACTTGTGAATATTGATTACATGCCAAAGGTATGGAAATGGATGAAATGGGGATTAGCCAGCCACAGGCTGTACTCCTTTCTGGAGTAGTGTTTAAAGAGCCAATGTTTCTCTAAGACCTTATTTTAAAACCTGAAAATTAGGAGAACTACCACAGGCACATAGAACTATGTTCTTTGGGGGGATGGGGAGAAGGAATACTAACAGAAGTATAAAGCAGAAGAAACAGGAAGGGAGAAGACACCCGGTCTTGCAACCAGTCAGTTGGCTGAGCAGGAGAATTTGGAGGAAGCCACTGTCAAACTACGAACCACATAGGACCTCACAGGGACAAGGGACTTGGGGTGTTTCTTTATTCACTCTGGTTAAAGGTTGTTCCTAAAGATTTAATGGTGAGGAAACAGAGCCTGTACCAGACCCTTGCCTGCCTCTATTTTCTACTTTTCCTAAACATATATAGAAAACTGTCAGTGCTAGTTGTGAAGAATACAATGTTGTGGCTCCAACACCCAGAAAGCCCCCTATAGACTGGGCCCTCAATGGACATTTTTTTACTGAATAATTCTCAACAAATTAGTTTTGTTTTATTAAATTCACTTTTAAGTCGACACCATCAAATGATGTACAAAATTAATTCTCACAGTCAAAATTCTAATTCACAGAATGAGGGTGGAAAGGAAGAAGGAAAGAGGTAAAGTATCACAAATCCTAATCCAATAAGCCTTTTTTTCTGATCTGGTGTTCCATACATGAACTGTGTTCCAAAGTCTTGAGAATTGTTCTTATGTATTCATTATTCAGCATACACTTATTGATTGCTCATTATAAGTTAAAATTCTAAAAAGAATTTTTAAAAAACTGAATCTAGTTATGATTGGAATACAGAGATGAATTACAAATAATATTTTCCCTCAGAACATTTATCATTAGAATAATAATAGTTAGCACTAATTATGCACATGTACCCAGTACTAAGAATTTATTTTAATTCATTACTCCTAACAATAAATTTATAAAGTGGTAATATTATTAACTCCAGTTTTCAGATGATAAAACTGAGACTGAAAGAACTTCAGTAAATGATTCAAGGTTACATACTAGTAAGCGATGAAACTAAGATTTGAGCTCAAGAAAAGCAAATCCAGAGTCCAATAGAGAAATTTTTAAAAATCACATAAAGACACATATGATTCATAAACTACATAATTGTTTATGTATAGAATGACTAGTACAATAAAATGGTCATATTGACTATAATACTGTAAATCTGAAATTATAAAGTCTCACCAACCTGAATGTTCCTAGAAGACTGGGTAGGTGTTTGCAGGAGAGTAATTACTTAAAAGTCACAATACCTAGTAATAAAAGGAAAATGCTCTGATTCAATTCTACCAACAGAACCATGAGAACCTAGTCTCCAAACAATTCTTTCATCCAATATCTTTCTGTGCATTCACAATCTGAATCTTTTGGGCCCATCCTAGCCCCAACCCTCCTCTGTTTATGGCAACAGAGGAGAAAGCAGTTAATCTTATTTAGATTTTTCCACTGACAGGTTTGTAGAGAAAGATGTACTCAATGTGGATCTTTAAGGAGAAGGAATATTTCTCCAGACAATCAAAGAAGAGAAAGTACTCTAGACATGGACAAATATTCCAGAATCTCTGGAACATGGTCTATGAAGTATACAGAAAACCATGCTGAAGAGAAGGGCAGAGGCAAGTCATGCATAATCTCAGAAACTTTGCCAAAGAACCACTGAGGAGTTTTTAATTCTAGAGGATGAAGGTGTACAGATTTGTGGTTTAGAGACAGGTGACAATTTAAGTGTCTGGCACAGAGCAGACCACAAGAAATTGTTATTGTATCAATTAATTGCTAACAATTTTTATAATTTGGAAAACTGCCAATTTTCAAAAAAAAAAAGACTGTATTCACTTTGCCAATTTTAAAAATAAAGAAATGAAGAAAGAAATGGGACAGAAAAATGAATGTATACTTAGTAGAGATTTACTGAAATATTGAAATTTCCCCACAGGAAAAAAATGAGTGGAATGAAATAATACAAATAACAATGAATATGAATAAAAACGGAATGAAGGAAAACATGCTATTAAGATCAAATTGAGTCTTTAATGACAAGTGAGAGTTTTATTTATTCATTGATTTGAAGGATATTTATTGAGAAGCTGCTATATTTTCAGCATAACTCTACATCATCAACTGATGAGACAAAGGCAAAGCCTTTGTCCAGTGAAAGCAGCAGAAAATAAACAAGTAAACCTATATATTAGATAATAATAAATGCAATGAAGAAAAATGTAGCAGAATAAGGTATATTGAAGAAAGACGGTGCACAGGATGACAGAAGGGAGAGAAGTATAGTAGACAGAATAATGATCTTAAACCACAAAACCTGTGAATGCATAGTGTCACAAAACAAAAGGGAATTAAGACAGAGCTGAGGAAGCTAATTAGCTGACCTTCGAATAAGGAGGTTACCCTGGATTATCTGGGTCAGCCCAATGTAACCACAAGAGTTCTTAAAAGTAGAAGAGAAAATCAGAAGGAAAGGAGAGAGATGGAAGCCCAAAAGGGACTCAACTTGATGTTACTGACTTTGAAAATGGAGGGAAGGCCATAAACCAAAAAATATGAGCAGCCTCTAGAAGCTGTAGATAGAAAAGAATCTCCAGTCTCCCAAAGGGAACCCAGCCCTGCCAACATCTGATTTTAGCATAGTAAGTATGATACTTTTGACCTCCCAAACTGTAAGTAACAAATTGTGCTATTTAAGTCACTAAGTTTGCAATGATGTGTTACAGCAGCAATACTAACACAGGGAATGAGAGCCCCGCCACTGGATCTTCCCTTGAATAAAAGTAATGGTGTCATTACTCCAGGTATAGAAAAGAAGAGGGAGTTTTCTTATTTGTTATTCAAGGTGGGTATCTGGGGAAAAAATAATGAGTTCGATTTCAAAATTCTTAAGTGCAAAGCATCAATAATGACAACTAGACGGAAATGTTTAGAATATTGCTGGATAGAAAAAGATGGAAAAAAATATTAGACTAGATTTCAGAGTTTTGCTGTATTTTTCATTTATTTGCATGTGATAATGGAATCCATAAACAAATATGAGGTTCCCCAGACTGTGTTTGTAGTAGCATGAAAAGTAAGAAATGCCAAGGCAGACATTGACAATATTTGCATCTAAGAGAAGTTGGGACAATAGTGACCTGCAGAGGAGAGTCTATCTTGATATATCTAACCTGATCTCAGTCTCCTTCTTGAATCCAGACTCCCATTTATAACAATACATAAAATATCTCTAATTGAATGTTACATAAGACAATTGTTATGGACTGAATATGTGTAGACCCCTAAAATTCATATGTAGAAGTCCCAGCCCCCGATGATGGTATTTGGAGATGGGGCCTTTGTGAGGTAATTAGGATTAAATAAAGGCATGACCCTCATGATTCGATTAGTTCCTGTAAAATAGAGACGCCACAGAGCTTGTGTTCTCTCTATCTACATATTTTCAATGTGAGGACATAGCAAGGAGGAGGTCAACTGCAAGCCAGGAAGAGAGCCTCCCCAGAAATGGATTCTGCCTCTAGAACTGTAAGAAAATAAATTTCTCTTATTTAAGCCACCAACTATGGTACACATTCATGGAACATTCATCAAATTTCTTGTGCACAATTTTAGCAAACATCAGCCACGCATATCTAGGTATGCTTCCCTGTTCTCAGCTCCTACCCCTAAAATTCCCTGAATGTCATAGGCATTTGGTTTTATTTTTAAATCAGGATATGATGTCCCAATCTGTGACAGAATAAGGGTCATTCTGGGTGGATTGGACTGGCAACGAAAAAATTACACAATCACAGAAAATACCTTTCTCGGGGTTCAGGACAGCTCTGCAGCCTCAAGAATCAAGCTCCCACACTGGAAGGCACAGAGATCAAGGGAGGCAAAAGGCAGGCAAGAAGGCCAGAATGCCCTGAACCCTGGTATTTATTGGGGGGAAAGACATTTGAGAAAGTTCCACCCGAATAAGGCAAGGGATTGGGTTTTGAAGGATGGAGTCTTGCTTGGTGATGTCTTGTCATCAGATGACTGACATCTTGAAAAGCCACATCCATCTCAGGTGCTGTGTGGGATCAAAGGCAAAGTGAGCGAAAGGGCACACATATGTCACACAGCCCAATCAGACAGCAGCGATAATCCAGTTCCCTCATACGCTCAAATGTGCAGAGCTCACACACAGCTCATGACTGGCTCCCAACAATATGACACAAGTTTCTCTTTTGCATAAAGAATAGAACACTCAAAGACACACCTTGGCTCAGAAGGAAATCGTGGAATATGCATGTTCTAGAGGAAGAGTAGTCACAGATAGGCTTCCTCTCAGTGGAATCCCCTAGAAAGATCAGTTGAAAGATGTTAGTAAGAGATATACTCCTTGGTGTAGTGTTACAAGTCTTAAATCTAAACCTCAGGTTGCAAAATATTTCTGTTTTCTGCAAATAGGATACTGTATGTCAGGAAAGCACAAGTACTGTCTCCAATGCTTTTACTCTATTACCAAGTCCATTAGCATTCATTTTTTTCTTTGTTGATGAATATCAACAAAAACAGAATTGGATAACTGAATTTCCCATTGACAAAAAGAGGTACTTTCTTAAAACATGTAGGAGCACCCAATGGAGAAACTATCAAAGAAAGAAAGTGTGACTACCCCAGTTTATCTGCTGGCTGTGTTCCCTAGAGCACTTTTAACTTTTCTGAGTTTCTCTTTCCTCTAATGTGCATAGGAATAAGAGTTACAAGAGCCCAACAAGATAATTACATAAAGTAATTTGGAAAAAAATAGCTATTAAAACCAAAATCAGAATAAAAAAATGCTTTGGCAAATTCACTATTTCATTCAGAAAATAAAATCACCACTTGATAATAAAGCAGATTCAGAAACTAGAGAAGAGTTCCATTTCTCTTCACAAATACAGTTGTACCAAATTATTTGCCCTTTTTTTAGTTTTAATATATTTATACCAATCAATATTAAACATATTAAGATAATATGTTAATATATAATAATGTTATAATATTTCATTTAGTAATATATCTAAATAAACCTTATTATAAGCATATACTTTCTTTAATCCAATGTATCTAAAATATTATTTCAACGTAATATATATTAATATAACATTATGAATGAAAGAATTGATATTCATTTTTTTGCACTAAGCTTTTCAAGTCCAGTGGGCACTATGTTTATACAGTGCCATCTGAATTTGGACACCTGCTTGGTAGCCACACGTGACTGTTGGCTCTCCTGCTGAACAGCATAGCTGTAGATTCTGCCTCAAGCTGTGCTAACATCATAGGACTTCCTAGAATTCGTTTTTCTGCATTTTTTAAATTTGTTCTAATTAGTTATGCATAACAGTAAAATGTACTTTGACACATTATACCTAAATAGAGTATAACTTTCTCTAATGAGTGGCTTCTTATTTTGGTTATTATTTTTATTATTTCTTATTTTGGTTATTATTTTTATTATCTTCTTATTTTGGTTATTATTTTTCTTCATATGTTATAGGAAACATTATTTTCTATTTTACAGATCTTAAATGTCTCCCCCAAACTCATATGTTGAAGATTTGGTACCCAATGTTCGAGGAAGGGCCTTTGGGAGATAATTGGATCATGAAGTCTTTGACTTCATGAATACACTAATCCATGTATGAAGTCATAACTTAATGACCTCTTGGGAGGAGGTGCAAACTTTAGGAAGTGGGGCCTAGTTGCAGAGTAGGTCATTGGGTCCATGTCCTTGAGGAAATATTTTGTTCCAGTCCCTTTCTCTCTTTTTCTTCTCGTCTCCTTCTCTCTCTCTCCTTCCCTCCCTCTCTTTTTGTTTCCTGGCTGCCATGAGGTGAGAAGCTTTTAATGACCATCATGTTCTACTTCACACAAGCCCAGAAACAACAGAGCCAAATGACCATGGGTGAAACCTCCGAATCCATGAGTCAAAATAAATCTTTCCTCTTTTAAGTTGATTTTGTCCAGTACTTTGTCACAGCAAGAGAAAGCTGACTAATAAAGAAAAAGTTAAATTTTTGAAAATTATCTGAGTTAGGTAACAATTTTACCAGATTTCATACCTATTACTGTTTGACCATCAAAGCACAAACAGTAAAGAAAATTAGCCACACCAAATAAGTATAAATGTTGACTATTCATGAATTATATACATGTTGAACCCAAACATTTATTTTTAATTGATTCTGTAAATTCAATAAATACTTCAGAAATCAGTTGGAAGTCCACAAATGTTAATAGTATTTAGCTCATTTCAATGGAAATGGTCTCATTAACATGCCAGCTGCTAAAAATGTATGAGCCCAGCTATGTCCCTTGCATGCCTCAAAGAAGAAATTCTACTTTCACAGTTTTGCTTTAAAGAAAATAATCCTTGTTTAGATTGTTCATAGTTGTTCCAATAGTAGCCAACGGCAGGAAATTCAACCTCCCTTCTCCATCCAATATGAGCATTTCCAAATTTCTCAGCTAACTTTTATACTGTCAATGAAAAACAGCTTTTCTGACTGCATTTTAAGCTATTTTAACCAGAATTCGTAATAGACACCCTCCTCAGTGCACTATTATAATTGTAAATCTAAATATAAACCTCAGAATACAGAACAATCCAAGTTCTTTGCAAAATATCTTAAAACACTTGCAGGAATGAGTATTATCATTAATAATATCAGAATAGATAGTAAAAACATCACATAGTATCAACTAAGCAACACTTTGAGGTTATTTGCTTTATAAGAATTTAACGGAATTAAATTGAGACTTTACAAGGCATTTTGTTGTGACAGGTCTGAGGTTTGCTTTATAGTAGGTAGCTTAGGGAGAGGTTTTATTTCTATATTTGGTGATTTAAAACACTAGTTTTAGGGAAATATTTAGAATCTACCCTGAATTTAAACAATTTTAATAAATAAAATTCAAAATAAAATTTAATTAATGACAAATATTTTTAAACATTATGGGCAAATGAAATATTGATGCTTATATTATTATAATATAAATCTTTATTCCTTGGAACTGCTCATGTAGCACCTACCTTAATTGTTATTTTGAGTCATTAGCTAAACTACATTCAAGAAATGTTCAAAATAAATTAGGAAGAACAGAACAAGGTTAAAAAAGACTATTTTAATTACACTTTAAAATTAAAATACCAAGAAATTTCTTCCCACTTCCCAGTTTTGTTAAATATTAAATGCCACCAGTTAACATTTCAAAATACTGTGTAAAATTGCTTTTGCTTTTTCTTAGAAAAACCAACTGTGAGTACATCTGAAACCTTGACAGGTTCTCTAAAAGTAATCAGTGACTCTCTCTTTTAGTTAAAATGTGAAGCTTCAAGAAAGTTCTGAGTCTCTTGCTTCTGGCCTTCCTCTAAATGTTTTAAATCCAAATGGCAAGTAGCCAGATTGCATAAAACTATTGAATGCAGAAAACAGGAACCTCTTCATATCTAAAAACCAGCTCTGCCACTTCTACTCCTGGCATCAAGGAATGAGAAGAAAAAGAAAGAGGGAACATAGGAGAAAACTTTTATGAACTTGGTTAGGCAAAGACCACTTAGGTACTACACCAAAAGCAAGATCTATATAAAAGAGCAAATTGATAAATTCTCATGAACTCACTGAGAAAAACATTTTACTGGGGAAAACAAAATCTGAACAGACACTTCCCCAAAGAGGATGTGCTTATTGTAAATGAACAGATGAAAATTTGCTCAACATCATTACTCATTAAGAAAATTCAAATTAAAAACACCATGAGATACCATGACCTATTATTCAAATGAGTAAAATTGTAAAATTCACCAGATCAAATATCTGTGAGATATGGAGAATGTGGAAAGCCTCATGAATTGCTATAGATGTGTGTACTAGCAAAACTACTTTGGAAAATAGTTTGGTAGCTTTTTAAATAAATATACACTAATGGTAGGATTCGGCCATCCTACTCCTAGATATTTACCCAAGAAAAATGAAAACACCTGTCCATACAAAAACTTGTAAACAGCTGCTTTTTTATAATTAAAAAAGAAAAAAATGCAAATACCATGAACAAGTGAGTAGTTAAACAAATGGTTATTTATCCGTATAAAGGCATACTATTGTAAAAATTAAAAAGTAAGAACTATTGCACATAACAACATGGCTCTCAAAGCGAGTATAGTGAAGGAAAGAATTTTAAAAAATAGTACATATTGTATTATTTTATTATATAAGTCCTAGAAAATACAAAGTCATCTATAACAAAGAACAGGTCAGTGGTTGCCTGGGAAAAGGGGAAGGAGTGGGGAGGATGTTAAGGGTCAGGGTCACAAAGGGAAACAAGAAAACTCTTGGTGTTAATATGTCAATCATGTTAGTTTTATTGATCATTTCATAAATATATACATATATAAATTTATCAGTTGTATACTTTTATATGTGTAGTTTAATGTATGTCTCTTATGCTTCTGTCTTATTTTTTATTCTATTTTATTTATTTATTTATTTATTTATTTATTTATTTGGAGGGTGGGTAATGGGGATAGAACTCAGGGGCACTCAACCACTGAGCCACATCCCCAGCCCTATTTTGTATTTTATTTAGAGACAGGGTCTGAGTTGCTTGGTGCCTTGTATTTTTTGCTAAGGCCGGCTTTGAACTCATGATCCTCCTGCCTCAGCCACCCTAGCCACTAGAATTACAGGCATGTGTCACTGGTCCTGGCTCTATCTTATTTTTTAAATGAACAAAAGAAAGGAAAATCACCAGAGACAATGTTAGTATTCCATATGGAGGAAATAAACAAAGTTGTCTGCCTTTGGCACACAATGAACTTCCTTTTCCACCTTATATTGTGGGCAAATTTATGAACTATCAATTGAAGTACATAGTCTTCATGGATAACATACATGCAAAAGGCTGCCGGACAATTAGCCATGCTCCCAACTTACCTAGGACAAAAACAATCAATGTGTGATGGTAGCAAGGCATACAGATTTGACTTATAGTATTTTTCTCCTCTGAGAGTGTAGATTGGTAAAACATGCTTATACATTGAAAAGTGCTTATTTTCCAGGTTTCACAAAAGGGACAGATGCACAACTTTTTTTTTTTTTTTTTTGTCCATCTTCTGTACCAGCAGTGATCTATTGTCTTGAAGCCTGGATGTCCTTGTCCACAGAGCAAAAGAAGTAGTTCTTCCCTACTTCTAGTCAGATACTCACTGTTAAACTAACATTTCCTCCTTGCTGAGTATGCTTGTTCACATGTGTTCCTTTGGCACTGTACCTGCTTACAAGATGTTCTAGCAACATAAGTGCCAAGTCATAATGGTCCCACTCCAGGAGACTGGGAGGCTTCGGTATACCATTTAATTCTGCCCCTGAACTCGATGATGATGATGATGATGATGATGATGATGATGATGATGAAAATGATAAAGCTTTAGACTTTTTCTCCAAAACAAAATTTCTGATAGATTAGTTCTGCCTAAGATATTTTTGTGAAGATATCAATGTTGACATCCTCAATGCACAGTGAAGGCCAGCTCTTTCCTGTTTCTATCTCTCCTTTACCAAAGCCACCAAAGTCTTTAATTAAAAGGAAGGGGCTGTTAGCCATCTGACTCCCTCACATGCCCTATAAAACTGCCAAACAGAGCTGGTGGGTCAAAGAACCCAGAATGCAGCCTGAACTTTGACTCCTAGAAAAGCAGAAAAAAAAAAAAAAAAAAAAAAAAAAAAAAAAAATTTTTTTTTTTTTTTTTTTTTTTTGCAGTGTGTGGAGCTCTTTTCTTAGCATAAGTGCAACTCAGTGTATCTGTCCATGTAAAATATTTCCCACATACACAAATAGGCAGTTTGCATGACCTTGACAGATACGGTAATGAAGTTTGTACTGACACCTGACCCACAGCTGAATTCTGCCAGTTATACCATGATTAATTCACTATACTGGCAGAAAAAAACAAAGCTGTGGCTAAACCCTTGTCCTAAGGTTGAGAATCAGCCTACTAAGAACTCGACCATTAAAACCCCAATAGAAAGTGAATACATAGATTTTAAATACCATAAAACCATTCCCAATATATATGAATTGGGAAGGCAGCATCAAATCAAGCCCTGGTTTTTCTTAAAGTACCATCCCTTTCAGAAGTTTTGTGGCCTTTGAAAGGTTTAGAATATTTTTTTTTTTGAGTTCTTTGTATACTCTGATATTAGGGCTCTATCTGAAGTGTGAGGAGTAAAAATTTGTTCCCATGATGTAGGCTCCCTATTTA